ACACGTTGGTCCTGGGCCCGCATTGGCAACGGACTGTCCTGATTGCACCATTTTCAGATTTTATGAATCATATTCGAAACTCAACTATAACAACTCAAGCATGTAAATAAATTAAGACCTTTTCTCTTTCATTTTGTAGAGACAAATTTAATAGAGAAAAATGTAGGCATTTTAGGATTGTCCTTTTAAAATAAATGAGATGAGCCTCGCTCAATAAAACGCACCAATTGCGGGGCCCTCAATAAATGTTTAATTGAATACTTAGATTTCGAGATAGGTCGTTTAGCAAATTTCACGGCCTTCTCCAAAGTAATAAAGCGTTAGATTCTTTAGGCACGATTTTAATAATACTACATCCCTAAATTAGGGTGCGCATTTATGCGACCCAAATCCAAATCTCAACGGAGTCAAAACGTGTCAACAACCATGGGTGCATTGATTGCGATGTGGTTCGAAACGCATTTTCACGACGTTGCAATTCTAAAAAAAATAAATAATAAAAGCGATTTAAAGTTGATAAAAGCACATAAATTATAATATGTATTATATCAGATAATCAAGTCGAATATAACAGTTGAGCGACTGTGCTAGAACCACGGAACTCGGGAATGCCTAACACCTTCTCCCAGGTTAACAGAATTTCTTATCCAGATTTCTGGTTCGCGGACTGTAATACAGAGTCATTCTTTTCCTCGATTCGGGATTAAAATTGGTGACTTGGGACACCCTAAATCTCCCAAGTGGGGACTCTGAAATAAATAAACAAATCTCGTTTCGATTGTCCTTTAATTGGAAAAAACTCCCTTCCGTGTCCCTTCGTGGGCGGAAAAAGGAGGTGTGACACTCGCCATCTGATGCTTTATGTTTACTTATTGGAAATTACAGTTCCGATATGATGCGTTCTTTTTCTTTTTAAAGGTTGCAGTTCACTATAATAGCTGTTGGAGGGGGAAGGGGTGGAGAAGTGAGTTTTGATTTTAGGTAAATTTTAAAAAAGGGAACCGGGTCGGATGGGTCATATTTTAGGCCTTTTTGGGTTTTTTTATTGGATTGGTTCTTTTAATCGGACAGCGCCACAGGTCATGTCCCTTAAAATAAGGGTAAACATAGAACTTTGTTGGACGACAGGGGTATATATGAATGAAAAGTATAACGGGGGATAGGATTGAATAATAAACGAAAGTAGAGGGATATATTTGGCTCTTTTCCGTAAAAAGAAGGAATTTTTACCTCATATAGCAAAGGTTAACACCTTATTTATTTTAAATAAATACCATTTTAAAAAATTATATTCTAGATACCTTTTAAGGTTTATAGCAAAATATCTAATTTTGGTATCTTCTAGCCATAAGCCACTAAATACGCTATTCAGTTACACTATTTGATTTCTCTCTCTAATTTGATACATGTCATTCTCTCTTCCAAATAATACCGGATTCATTGACCGACCACCACTTCTCTTGGCGACGACAACGTCGACGGATAGGATGCCTTCTCACAAATACCAAACCTCAAAATCCAGTAACTATCAATTACCAGAGAATCGGCCATGGTATTCAAAGTCGGAGCTTAAAAGGAAGAAGAGGGCCATGGAAGGAAAAGTCAAGAAATCATTCAAAAATGGTTATCGTTGGTTCAAACATGTGTCAGAAGCAATATACAGGATGCGTCGAAAGTGAGATTCAGGGTTTTTGCTCGACGGCGGATTCGTCGGAAATTAGGGTTTGTTCTTGAATAAAGACAATGAATTTTGGGGCTGAGCAACTTGATTTTCTGTTAATATATTTCAATGTACTTTCAACATATCACGCTGTATTTTTATTTATTTCATTGTATTTGTTGTCTTTTTTTTCATTGTAATTCAATGTATCTCGTTGTATTCTATGTATTTCATTGTATTCACTGTCTTTTTTTCTCATTGTATTTCAATGTATCTCACTCTATTCTATGTATTTCATTGTATTCATTGTCTCGCTATATGCCATGAATATATTCATATATTTTTTTAATTAATATAATTTATGTATTCAGATGTATTATATAATTTCTCTGAAGATTGCTATGTTTTTGGGTATTTTTCGGTTGAGAATCTTTTTTATAACTGAAAATTAAAAATTTTGTGTTATAATTGAGTTTGTTGAGTTATATTAAGAGTCTATTATGTTAATTGATTCACTTTCCGTTTTAAAAACATTGTAATCCCCTATTTCACGCCGTGAATACAGTCGAATACAGTCAAATACAATAATTTGTTCAGCTGTAATCTCATGTTTCACTCCATGAATACAGTCGAATACACTCGAATACAACAACTGATTAGCTGGACTTCCTTAATTCACGCCTATTTTTGCTACTGTATTCATGAATACAATAGCTTAAATACATCAAATACATTTTATAACCACAGAAAAGGTATCTACAATCCATAATATAATAAATGGTATCTATAGATAGCTAATTACTACTAAAAGATAGTGTTTTATAAAAATTTACCAAGAGAGAATGGTTAGAACTCGTTTACCCTAATTAATTATCTAGAGTTTGATATGTGATATTGAAAACCCTTCTTTATAAAGAGCACTTTATTTCCTTAGTGGGCCTAGTTCGAATTAATCGGGATAGAATTCTCAAATATCAAAAAGTTAAATTGGAAAAGAGAAAACGATTTATTAGCTTTAGTCCAACCACTACAATAATGATAATGGTTTAATATTCACTAAACGACGATGCAAGATCTTTGGTAAGGATATTGATGTGCCTTTTGGGAGTTGATAATATCCAATTCTTTAAAAGAAAATGATGAGACATTCCTTTTCTAATCCATAGTTTAATATTGAGATAATGATCTGTGATCTTATTTTATTAATTCCTAATAGAACACAATGATTTGTAGGGCCCAAAAAATTACGGTTTCGCCTCGCATATCTCGGATTATTTTGTCAAATGCCCGTTAGAATTTGGGGAGGATCTTTCTGCTAACGATTATTTTAGTGCTTTTTCACTTTTAATCCGCACCAGAAACTATTTATATGTGATAGTAAAAAAAATATATAAAATTTATATAATTTTTATAGCTATTATTTTGAGAACGGTATACAATATCATTTTGCTACTATTTTAGTAGAAATAGCGTGTGATAGCCATTTTTTAATATGATATTTAATTTTTGTCCAGTATTTTTAATGCTGAGCAAAAATAGCCACTACTCTATTAAAATTAATATGAAAAGACATTTTTACCCTTTCTTCATGAGTGATGTTTAAATATTAAGGACATGGTGTCCTTAACATTTACACTGCACACATGACATGACATGATACTATGTCCTTAATATTTACACAACATTCATGCAACAACAACAACAACCCAGTATAATCCCACTAAGTGGAGTCTGGGGAGGGTAGTGTGTACGCAGACCTTACCCCTACCCTAGGGTAGAGAGACTGTTTCCAAATAGACCCCCGACATCCTTCCCTCCAAGAACTTCCCACCTTGCTCTTGGGGAGACTCGAACTCACAACCTCTCGATTGGAAGTGGGGGTTACACAACATTCATCAAGTTAAGGAAATCATGTCCTTAATATTTACACAACTCTCATAAAGTATGTCCTTAACATTTACACTGCATATATAAAGTTACGGGCATGAGGTCCTAAAGTTTAACAATAGAAGGTGCAAATACAAGTTAAGGACATTATGTCCTTAACATTAATATATATACAACATTCATGAAGTTAAAGATACCATGCCCTTAATATTTACCCAGCACCCATGTCTAGCACAGGGGTATTTTTGTCTGGGCGGCTAAAAATTTATTAAGCACTAGCTAAAGAGTAAATACATTAAAAAAGTGGCTAAAGAGTAAAGACATGGCTAACTGCTCACTACCCCATTATTTTACAAGGGCCCATTTATGTGGGCCTTTATTTTGCCAAAACGCTAGAAAGTGGGCAACAGGCTTTTTAGCCTGCCAATCGTTGCTAGCAGTTGATCTTTCCAACTCCCCTGTTAATTGTGTATTAAATATTTAAATTATATAGTACATCAAAATGTCCACATTTTTCAGTGCAGTTTTAGCAATTATAATAAGGTATTACTATGATATTTAAGTTACCAAATTAGGCTTACGAAAAGGGTACAGGAAAGCTACAACTGGACCTCACCCTCTCTTTCAATTCAAAATGGGAGTGACCGAAGCACCTCATCTTCTCATTTCATCGTTGCTCATTCTCGTTCGGCCAAACTGTTTGGCTTTTCCTACTTTGTGAAGGAAGTACAAAAGATCAATTTTTTTAATATTCTAAATCTCGTGCTGTTTTTTTGTTATACAGCTGCAACAAATCGTTTAGTAAGAAGAATTTATATCACTCACCCGATTGGATGTCAATTTGCCAAAAAAAAGGATCATGGTACGAGGTATTAGAAAATACTTGTATTAGGTATACATCCTATTTGTTATTATCCTATATATAACTAAAACAAGGACTTTTAATACTTTCATAAGCATGGTTAAAGACATAATTGTCCCTCATACCCCTCAAAGTGTACAAAGTTAAAAGAATGTGGAGGATATTTTTGTAAACAACTAATTTTTTAAGAAATTATGCAATGCTTTAATACATCAAACCAAACAGTGGATAAGAAATAATCACATCATAACTAATCTCGGCATTACTAATACCAGCATTGCTAATACATCCTATTTAGCACTATTCCTATAGGTCCTAACAAACGACCCCAAGGAGATGTTATTTGCAGGAAGCAAATTACAGTGCAGAACACTTACCGATGGGCTTGGGCCTCCAACAGCAATGCTGGAGCAAGATAGATAGTGCTCTTACTTTTTCTCTTTATGCCTGTGATTCCAGCCATGCTTTAGGGGTGCAGTTACAGAAATAGCCAAAAGTAATTTACCAGCACTGAAAATAATAGGGTCATGGAAGTCCGAAGGGATTTGTTTTAATGCACAAGCAGCAGCAGCTCTAAATGAAAGATCAATAATTTGACAAGATTCAATTCAGGAGCATAGCATTAATGATATTAAGCCCTATGCATTTGAATGTCAAATCCACAAAAACATAACAAACCCACTAGCATTATAGGCCTATGCTGAACGAAATATATGTAGCAAAGAAATTCATCAACTAGCAGCACAGAGGTCAATCAATACAAAGATCTGAGATCAACGCAATCCACAATATTCACGATTGATGGCGCACAAAAGAGAACTTTGGACATTGACACAAACTGTTCAGACAAAAACCTTGTATTACTATCTAAAATTATGTAGACCCTGTATCTACGTTAAGAGATGAAATCAAACCCTTTAGCTTTGTAGGGCTTTAGCAGTTTCTCGTTATCTAGCCAAAAACTCCTCCAACTTTGTCATGCATGATACACGCTGCAAGGAAGGAAGCCAAGTACCCTTTAACCTGTACAGTAATTAAAGCATATGTTAAAATAAAATTTTGAGTTTGATTGGTCAAATATATAGCCTGTTTGGCCAAGCTTCTCAAGAGAAAAAAAGTGCTTTTTTCCCAAAAGCACTTTTTTTTTTTCCTAATTTGAGGTGTTTGGCCGAGCTTATTTGGAAAAAAAAGTGCTTTTGGGAAGAAACAGAAAAAAGTAGCTTCTTTCCAAAAGCAGAAGCAGTTTTGGCTTTTCTTTTTACCTAAAATACCCTTAACAAAATATAGTATATACCAAAATAACTCTTAAACCTAATACTTAGGATATTAATTTATAAATATTTCTTCTTATTTTTAGGAAAACTTTCTAATATATAGTGACTTTAAGGGTGAATGCTTTTATATTTGTTGAAGGAATTTTAATATATTTAACTTATATTAAAAGAATTAAGTACTTTTTAATTTTATTTTCATATTTTACTTAAATAAAATGATTTTTTTTTAATTATTGTATGTAATAACAAAATTTTGATATTATTTATTTACTTATAATATTAATTATTAAGTAAATTTATTCATGTCCTTATTCGTAATTTGACACTTAAAATCACTTTCTAAAAAGCTTGGCCAATCACAAATTATTTCTCAAAAGTGCTTTTCAGACTGATTAGCCAAACACAAACTGCTTCTCTCCAAAAGTACTTTTTTCAAAAGCACTTTTGAAAAAAATACTTCTCAAAATAAGTTGATTTCTCCAGCTTGGCCAAACAGGCTATCAAGATAAATAAAGAAGCTTCAAAATTAATTTGCATTGATAATCAAACAAACCGTATAAAAGAGCAAACAAACAAATGAAAAATGATTTTAAGCTGTATAGGTTGGGTTTTAACCAGTTGTTTAGCCTAAATTGACCCGCCTATTTTTATTTTTATTTTATTTGCACCGGGTGTCCGAGTCTCTTCGAGCCCCGACTAATCCCAGGGGTGCACAGGCCCTCGGCAAGGAGTTTCCCGCAAGTGCACCACGGTTAATTCAAGTTTTACCCAGTCTGATGGCCGTAAAAAACTGTTTGCACCCAGTGGGTTTCGAACTTGAGACCTTGAAAGGGAGCAAACCCCAAGGCTCAAGTCAATTGCCACCAGGCCAACCCCTGAGGGTTGACCCGCCTATTTTGATCCAGGCAAATTTTGAGCGGGTTATGATTAAACCGATTTATTCATTCGACTCACTTTCACCGCACAAAGTTAGCTCAACCTGCCTATTTGACACCTTGAGCAAATTCAAAACTTAAAGAGTTCAATGGTGAAATATCATTAAAACATATCACACACCAAATACCCAACAGATGTACAAAATGAAAAAGACCAATAAAATGTATAATGTCACATTGAAGAGCTCAACAAAGGCTTAAGGGGACATGTAATAACTCTACCCATCAATAACCTGGGAAAACTCAATCTTCTTCGGACAGAACAAAATTCTGGGGAGAACTTCATTCTTTCCAACCTTTTGCTGTAAAGGTTTTCCTAAAGATTTAATCACCATGCCTTGTTTCAAGAAGTGGCATAATGGGCATTTCAATGGCTATTTATTTTTACGTTAGCATATAAACACACATACAAATAATTTCTAGATGTACAGATACCAAAGTGCAAGGCCAAATTAAGACATTCCACAAGCAGATATCCAGTTTAAAATCCTATATAGAACGCTTGTTTTAGTAACCTCTAGTAGCTAAGCTTGCTTCACATATCTACATATGTTGCCAGCATTATTAACGGGTTTATAAAGAGCATATAGGCATATATGGGAGTAAAAAAAAATATAAATCTGAAGACACAGAACTGTTGACTAAACACATTTCCAAAGAACCTTAAATATGAATCACTCTTCAAGGTTAACGGACAATTTTATAGCAAATGCCTCGTGGACTCACGGAATTTAATTTTTTTTATGCAATTATTCTAGATGCCAACCTACCACAACCCGCCTCCTTTATCTAGTTTTGTGACCAGGCTATATACTGTGAACACAGGAACATAGCAATGGTCCTAAATAGCCCCAACGGGTGTAACTTAATCATATAACCAAACCCAGCTGTTTTGGAAATACGCATAGCTGATTGATTCAAATGCCTCATGAACACAGTTAGAGATGTCCCAACTACCTGGTAAAGTGAACAACAGTAGTTTAGCCACTTACTACTCGAGAGTTCCTTAAACATTTCTAGCACTTTGGGTATATCAACTCCTAAAGTCAAGTCTATGAATTTCTGTTTTGAACAGTACTTTAAACAACAACAGCAATTACTACTACTACTACTACTACACCTGAGTATCAAACAAGTTGGGATAAGCTATATGAATACTGGCTGACCACATTTCTCCATTTAAACTAATCAGTAAGTCAAGTCTATAAATTTGAATCAAATGAATGAACAATCAAACAGATTCAAAAAAGATATACAGTTTGGTATATATCTCTACCTAATTCGACTCCCTGTTCTGCTGTCCACCACGAGACTCTGATCCTTCAAAGTTCCCCCAAGGCCATTGCAACGCTATAGTAGTAAACCTTCCTCCTATTGCCCCACCACTTCCTCCAGAACCCGAACCACCACTGCCGCCCCCACCACTCGACTCCCCACCACCTGCATTATCCCTTCCCCTATTCTCATAATCAGGATCATCCGTTGGCAACTCGTATCGACAAACAGGGCACGAATTATGCAACTCAAGCCACGGGAGAATACAACCCTCATGATAAACATGCTTACATGGCAGCTGTTTCACATCTAACCCTAGCTCAAAATCATCCTTACACACAGCACACTGTGCCAGCTCAGATTTAAGCAATTCCTCATTAACTTTAATACTGGGCAGACCCTCAACAGCTGATTTCGATGCGGGTGGGGTCCCATAGCGGTTCGGGTCATTTTCCGCTAATTGTTGGATCAATTCTTCAAAATGTGGCCCAATAAAATAGTCCCCTATGTTCGCCGGTAACCCTAACCCGCTACCCCCATTACCCCCTTCAATCACGAACTCGAAGTTGATACCACTAGCCCTTCGAGACGCTAAATGGGTCATAAGATAGCCAATCGGGTCGAAACCACCCGACCCGAGGAGCTCGTCCCTAGGGTTTTGGGCTGAGGAGTAAATTCTAGGGTTTTGGGAGTCAAGAGAAGCGGTGGTAGAGCGAGAAGTATTGAATAAAGGGCTGAACAAGGAGTAAAACGGGTCGGGGAAGTTCGGGTATGGATCGGGATCCGGTTCATCGTATTCTTCAACGAAATCAGAGTTGCAAGTAGGACAGAGGAGATCTCCCGTCGGAGAAGGGGTGATGGTGACGGTGTTGCTGCATTTGTGGCAGAAGTACAGCGATGCGCCGCCGCGTGCGACGGTGATTCCGGCGGAAGACATTTTTTGATTTTTCACAAGAGAAAATTGGAAGATGAAAAGAATGTGGGGCAGTTGAACAGTCGAATATATGTATACTAGTATACTAGTAAAAGTTGGCCCGTGCTGTGCCCGGACATTGTGAAATTCTTTGCTTGTGTTTAGCTTTATGTCTTTGTTTTAAATTGGTGATCTAATTTAGACATTATAAATTGTTATTTGTTTGATATTAAAAATTTGTAAGATTTGAAATTATAAAAAGGTGCATTCTTATACATTCTCATTCATAAGATATTTTGACAAACTTATTTTTTTCTCGAATACCTTTATCTCTCCAATTTGTTACAAGCTACGAAAATTGTATTATTTTTAGTAATAGAAAATTTTCTTTTAGAGTGTCTTTTGCCATAATTTTGTCCTATTATAATACAACTATAGTATACCCAATGTGTCTTAATTTTTTGTTTTGCTTATGCCAACTCTCCTTTCTTCTTGTTTTGCTTGAATTAGACAAAAAGTACCCATGATATAAATAGTAGTATCCTCTTAAATATAACAGTTACATTTTAATACTTTACCTACGCGTTTAAAAGTCAGAATCATATAAAAACTTCTATTGTGTATGATTTATAAAGACTGCAAGGTTTTATCAATGCTCTTGCCCTTATTGGAAACTTATTTTCCGATTTTTAAATTACTTTATTTGAACATGAAGTTACAGAAAAGTGCTTCAATATTTTTAATAAAAAAAATATTATTCCATGTGGTTCATTTAAATAAATGTATAAAACGTAAATATATTCTATTTTTCTAAAATTCAAAACTTGTTTCAAATATTAGTAAACCATTTGATAGTTGAAGAGAAATTATTTTTTCTAATATCATAGGAACATGTAAATCAATTAGATTTATGGATATTTTGTAAGTTAATATGCCAACTAACAAAGAGTGCCCAATGATGATATTTTTTTATTTCTCAATGAGTTGTATGAATATAGGTCTCTATATTGATTTTTTCATCATCTAAATTTTAAACAAAATGAGATATTACAAAAGGGGTAGACTTGCTAAAGAAGTATTGTTCTGTTATGACTTTTTTTTTATTTTTAAGTTTTGATCACCTTAAACAGTTAAACTCAAAAGGATAAAGTTTTAAATAACAAGGAAAAGATTCTCTAAAAATAAGCTTGTGTTTCACCTTTTTAAAAGTTTTAATCCTCGTAAATTTTGACCATGAATCCTATAAACATTAGCTAAATGAGATATTTAAAGAAGAACATGTTTAACATTGCTATCGTTGGAATTTCCTTATTTTCTCTTAATACAATTATTATCTTTCTTTAGTATTGGAATATTGAGAATTTTATTTTTTATTTTTTTATATTCAAAGTTTTTGTTTTTATTGAGCTCTTTATTTATTTGTTACTATAATAGATATATTTGAATACATAACTACCACTTATTTATAATTAATATCTTATATTTTATTCATTGAATCACCTGAGCATGGCAAACAAAATTAATTTAATGTAATCATCTAATTTAATGTCGAGGAATTAAGAGCCCGTCTCGACATAAAAAAAAATTGAATTTTTTTTACTTTTTCCGAAATCAGTGTTTGACCATAAAAATTTTAATTTTCACTTAAAGTTGAATTTTGAAATTTTTCGAAAATTTGAAAAATTTCAAAAAGCTGTTTTTTAAATTTTTGCTCATATCACTCACAAAACTTCAAAAGCAATTCAAAATTATATTTATGTCCAAATATAATTCTAATTTTCAAATATTGTTTTCACTTGAAAATTTTTTTGATTTTTTTTTTTTTGAATTTTACATTTCTTATGTCCAAACGTCCACTTATTCTTCCATTCAAAAGTCGTGGTTGTGAAATGATGAGCTGATGCTCTAGGTAGCAAACAATGGGCATGAACTTGAGATATGCAAGTGGGACCCATAAATAATAGTACTCCTAGGGGTCGTTTGGTAGGGTGTATAAGAATAGTGCGGAATAAGGTGTATTAGTAATGCATGTATTAGTAACGCATGTATTAGTAACGCATGTATTAGTAATGCAAGCATTAGTTATGCAAATATTATTTCTTATCTATTGTTTGGTGTGGTGTATTAAAATTATAATGCATTGCATAAACTTTTAAAAAAATAGGTGTTTACAAAAATGTCCTCCATATTCTCTAGCTTTAAGGGACTTTAAGGATATTTTTTTCTTTAACTATGCTAATGCATGCATTAAAGCGTTGGTATTACTAATGTCATAGTTTTCTATGCATTACTTATGCATAGGATAATAGCAAGTATGGTGTATAACTAATACAAGTATTAGTTATACACAAGTTGAAAAAAGATACCAAACAATGTATTAGTAATGCATAGAGCTAATACTTGCATTATTTTTTCTAATACCTCTTACCAAACGACCCCCTAGTATGTTAAAGGGTGCAATTGTAAGGCAAGTCAGAAAGTTTGGGTGGGGCCAGGACGTGCTGTCCTCGTGAGGGACTACAATAGAATTCCTTTTGACCAATCATATTGCTCCATTTCCACTGCAATGACTAAATTACCCTTAATATCCCAAGCAGGCATGTTGACTAGCTCCTTGCTTATCCTCACTTATATAATAGTAATAGATTGTGTGTGTATATATATATGTATTTTTAAAAAAATACTCATAGGGTTTGGGAAAATGGCAAATTAACCGGACTTTAGGTACTTATTTCGAATTCTGAAAAGCGATACGTATTCTTTTTTGCTTCAGATTTTAAAAAATAAAAGATTTTTATGATTGCCAAGGCAAAGAAAATTCAAGAAATTTTATGTAGTTAAAATTGTTAGAGTACGTTCGGGGTATAAGAATAGGCAAATTTTCTTTTTGAAATTAAAGTTTGAGGTGATAATATATCAATGATAAATACTGAGTACTCTATTAGTTTATTCTTTGCATTTTTATTTTTCAAATTTAAACATAAGTTGGGTTTTTACGTTTTGGTAAAAAATAAATATAACTGGAAATTTGGAGCTTTTGTTATTCTAGATGATTCTAGTGAATGACTAACACCTATTAATTGTAATATTGTTGATCAATTAATTTGCTTGAGTCTTGTATTTAATTCACATATTTAAGTTAAGACGGTCTTTTCCTTGACAATTAGAACTTCGAAGTATTTGATACTATAATTTATATTTTTGAAGTAAAAAATCTGTAAAAATAAAATATATTTTTAGAGCACCATAATTTAGATCTATATAAAAAATTAAATCCAAAATAATTAATTTCAAATTATGTATTTTTATAACATTTTAGATGCCTTGACTACTTATTTCAATTGTATAAATCTTTATTATCATGTCAAATTCAAAAAAATATTAACTAAAACTTTATTATTTTTAGCCAAATAAAAAAATTTAGCCTAAATAATATAGTTCTATCCAAATTTTATTATAAATTATATTCGAAAAAAATTATCTAAAAAAGTAACATACTTAAAAAGGTAAAAACTTATTTTATTTTTTAAAAAAAATGCCACATATGGAGAAAAATTCACGTGGCTGGCGAGTGCACTCACACTTTTTGTTACATCAGCGTCCAGGGGGTACTAGCTCTCAAAAGGCCAAGTTAAGAAAGTAATTAAGACCATAAATAATTTAAAATTGTAACTAATAATTCGTGTTAAGTTTAGGGGTGGTAAGCTATTTTACCATGTTATTACAGAGAGGTCAAACTGTATACAAAAGTGATGACAAAAGCAATTCCTAGCTAGCTGGCCTCGTCATCATTCTTGAAGTCACAAGTTTTATTGAATTATGAATTTCGATGTTCAGTATAAGAACTACAAAACAAATATTTTGGTGTTTTTTTAAACTAAACAACGTAAAGAATTTTTTTTACATTTTCAGAATATTTTAACCCTTAAAGTAGGAAATTTTCCATTTTTACTAGGTTATTAATTCATGCTTCTAAGTAATCTGCTTGTATAAATATAATTTATACCCTCAGTACATACAACTTAAAGTATAGCTGTATAAAAATTAACCAATAAATAAAAGGGTTTGCAGGTTGTCATTTTTAACAATAAATTGTTGAAAATTAATTTTTAAACTAGGAAATCTGTCGGACTATTGTTTTAATGGAAATCTTTTAGCAACAACTGAGTTTAGGATCAGATTCTAATTACAGTAGAGGATTAGGAAGGGATGCAAATTGTTGGAATAGTTAATGATTTATATAGGAGAGAAGGAAGTGTTAATTTAATTAAAGTGACTATTGTAAGTAGGGGTGGGCATAAAATCCGAAAAACCGAATTCCGAACCGAACCAAATTAATTTGGTATTTTGGTTTCGGTTTTTTCGGTTTTTCGGTCTAATTCGGTTATGAATTTTCGGTATTTCGATTCGGTTTTCGGTCTTATAATTCTACAATTTTGGTAAATCGAAATACCGAAAATTCATACTACTAAGCCCAATGCAATTATAGGCCCATGCGGCCAGTCCATGCATCCCCACTTCCCAGCGTTCTTCCACTCCCACCCAGGCCCAGCTCCCTCAAGCCTCTCAACTCCCAACCCAAG